GAGTTGTGCGATCGAGATATGGCGAAGCAAGAGCTCTTTGAATCAGTAAAACGGCCCGTCAATAAAGTGTGAGTCATGTTTCTGACGTTTCATTTGATGTTTGTTGAAACCAGTTGAGGCAACTACGATTTTATACAGCGTTGTTTGATACAACACACTCACCTCATCTCGAGATGGACTATAGCCGAACTTTGATGATATGCTTACAACTATCTAGCATAAGCTTTTCAACATTTTGATTGCTCTGCTTCACTGTGCCAAGATCGCACAGGCGCGCCGGAGTGTAGCATGTGGTCTGTACTCGTATAGAGACCCAGAAGCAGAGGGCGCAAACATACAACCACGAGTCGCGTTCTCATACTGACAAACGCCAAAATCATCCATGTTCTCTCCGACTTGGGCTATCTTGCTCGGCGGCGATTTCCAGGAGGCCTTTTCGATCGGTCACGGCCCAAGAACCGGTCTCCAAGGATACGACTAGGCGACGATTCGTATGGTTATGGGCAGCAATATCTCGAAAACCACAAGCTTGTGTACGACGTTCTTCTGTCACTTTGTATGCAGCCGTTGCAGCCACGTCATTTCCATTGACGAGCAAACTGTAAACTCGATATCCATACACTTCGGCTGCTGTCTCTGATCGCGTATCCAGATACCCCATTACAATTCCCTTCTCGTATTGAGTAAGCACACCGACCTTCTCTCGGTCAAGTGTTTTTTTGCATATATTCTACTTCTCGTCACGCGAGAAGCCACTCAGAACGCCTTGTGCTTGACTAAGAAAGGTCTAGCGACGAAGAGATCATATATCTTGACGGCGAGCACTGAAGTGATATCCCAGCTCCTCGAGCATACCCAGCTCCTCAAGCATCACGCGGGGATCAGAAGGCCAAAAAGTTCTGTTATGGACCGATGACTGCTCAGATCGCCACTGCCATTCTCCATGAACACGGTGTTCCGCCCTCACCCCCACTCCCAGCTACGCTTCGGGCGTGGACACTCAATGTCTCTGGATCAGTAGTATCCATGCTTTTCTCCTTCAAATGCTTATGGATAGAACCTCTCTTCCCTTGCCCATACCGCTCCAAGGTCCCCTGGTTCGTGGCCGAAGCGTCCGATACGGCGGCCCCTTGAGCACTCCGAGGCCAAAAAGCAACCACCAACACCTCGAAGGCACATTTCAGGACAAAAACGATTGGACGCTGAGGGAATTGAACCCTCGACCTTTCACAATAGAGCACGATGATTGGTGCGAAGCGAACTTGACGATGTTAGCATTTACTCGCAGGTGGAGAATGAACCAGGATCGATGCTTACAATCATACCCCTAGACCAAGCGCCCTGTTCGTGGCGAATTGCACGCAAAATTATCCTATGATTAGAATTGTAAATATCCACTTGACGAAGGTAGCGGACTTCGGTTGGTCCCGAAGTCCTGACATGGCAATCTGAGCGAGCCCGCCCGAAAGCTCCCCACCAAAGCTCCCTTCACAAGCCAGACCAACGTTTCCCTGGGCGCTAAGCTACTCTCTGACGGCTCACGAAAAATCAGATAAGATGGCAGACAAAAGCAAGCTGTCCAACGCCGGCATGCTCAGCTCTACAACTACTTCTGAGCCTCCAAAGGATGCCACCAATCAGCACTCAACGGAACAGCCCGCCGAATCCGTAAATCAAGCCGAGACAGCTCCATCTGCGTTGAAAGGCGAATCCGGACAACCAGCATCTACCACGAACGATGTGAACACCAAGCCGGTGGCCGCTACCACCAGCGATGGATGGCCGACACTACCAGATACGCATCCTCTGGCCAAATTCCTCGCCGAGCTGAAGAGCACCATTGAGAAAGTGGACTACGACGAAGCCTACGGCATCACGCTCAATCCATCCGGCGACTTTCACACCAAGCTCATCCTCCAAAAATTCCTCCGCGCGAACCAGAACGATCTCGCGAGAGCGAAAGACCAGCTTACCGCAACACTGCAATGGCGGAAAGAGTTCCAGCCGCTCAAGGCTAAGGAGGAAGTGTTTAGCAAAGAGAAGTTTGGAGCTTTGGGCTATGTGACTACGCTGGAGGGTGTGCCGGACAGTGTGAATAAGACGGACGCCGCGACGTTCAATATCTACGGTGCGGTCAAGGATAATAAAAAGACGTTTGGGGATACGGATGAGTGAGTGCTCCCACACGAGCCGTTGCTTTTTTCGGCCAACGCAGTTTGCACAGCATTGATCCTTAGGGAATTCACTATGCGATTCGATGATCATACGACATGCTAACTCAAAAGTAAAGGTTCATCCGCTGGCGCGTCGCCCTTATGGAACTCGGTCTCTCCAAGCTCAACCTCTACTCCGCAACCACTCCCATCCCTGACTTCGGGCAAGGCCCCGACCCGTACCAAGGCATCCAAGTCCACGACTACCTCCGCGTCTCCTTCCTCCGCCAAGACCCGCTCGTCAAAGCCGCCTCCAAGAAGACGATCGACCTCTTCGGCCGTGTCTACCCTGAGACACTCAGTCGCAAGTTCTTCGTCAACGTTCCCGTAGTCATGGGCTGGATGTTCACGGCGATGAAGATGGTGCTGTCCAAGGAGACAGTCAAAAAATTCACAGTGCTGAGTTATGGAAACCAGCTTAGTGGAGAGCTAGGACAGAGTGTACCGAAGGTGTATGGAGGGTCGGGCCCAGGTTTAGAGGCTTCTGGCGAGACGCCGAAATACGAATAAGAGATTCGGGAGCCACAAAGCCCGTATCCCTAGTGTGTGCTGACATCGTTGGCCGACGTGGGGTAGACCGGCCCGGGTGTACTAATTACCCGACCCTCGACGTTTTTTGCGCTTCAACTACTGACAACCCAGCGTAATACCCCAAGCTTTTGCAGCGATAGATTGATCTTCAGAATATATCATCGAATTAGATATGCTCAACGACGCCTGTGTTTCTTTAAGCCTGCATACGTCGGTGATTGCTCGGAGCATGCCGGACCCTGTTCGATGACGGTTCCTGACCTCACTTGCAGCATGTCACAATTTCCTCTACAAGTAGCTGTAAAGTCAACTACACTACTATTTTCTCTACATTCAAGTAAACATTTCTTTCCCTATTGCCTTCCAATATCAACAACCTCCTTGACTCAATACTCATCAGCTCAAAATCTATAATCGCATCTAATCCTTATAATAAGCCTTCTAATTCAGCATGACACAAATGAAGGCTATAGCCTGCACCGAGCGCGGCGGCATCGAGACATTGAAGCCCCTAACCGTACCCAAACCATCCGACCCCGAAGGCTACGATGTCTTAGTAGAGTAAGGCATTCCGTGTCTGTAAAGCCAAGACAGTCCGCTAACATCCCCTCCACAGAGTCAAAGCTACTTCCGTCAATCCAGTAGACCTCAAAGTCAGGGCCGGAACCTACGATGCAAGTACCTTTCTGGCACAACCAAGCAAGAAGATATCCGTCTAACAAAAACCCAGGACTACCCAGACTACTACACCCACTGCCCCGACCCACCCCACATCCTCGGTTTCGACGGCGCCGGCACCATCCTCTCCACCGGCCCCTCAGTAAAGAACCTCAAACCCAACGACGACATCTTCTACTCCGGCTCCCCCATCCGCCAAGGCTCCAACGCCCAATACCAACTCGTCGACTCCCGCTCCGTAGCCCTGAAGCCGAAGAATCTAGAATTTGTCCAAGCGGCCGCTATGCCGCTGACCTACATCACCGCCTACGAAGCGCTAGTCGAGCGCCTTGCGATCACCAAGGGCGAGGACGCCGGGATCCTCATCGTCAATGGCGCTGGGGGCGTCGGGTCCGTAGCGAGCCAGATTGCGCGGTGGGTGCTTGAATTACCCGTTGTCGTGACGACGGCGAGTCGAGAGGAGACGCAGAGTTTTACGAAGGAAATGGGAGCCACGCATGTCGTCAACCATCGCGAAGACATTGTGCAGCAGATCAGAGACCTGAACCTTAAAACGCCGATACGGTATGTGTTCATTACGAGCCGGACGGAGCAGTATCTAGGGCCCGCCGCAGCGGTGTTGGAGCCATTTGGCAAGATCTGCTCCATTGTGCAGACGCAGGAGTTTCCGCAGTACGGGACGGAAATGATGGCGAAGAGTTTGGCGTTTGTGTGGTGCTTGCTCGGGACGAAGCCGTATTATGGGGTGCAGTTGGAGAGTCATGGGGAGATTTTGAGGGAGTTGAAGGGGTTCGTGGAAGAGGGGAAGGTGAAGTGTCATTTGAAGCAGAGGTTGGGGTTGGATTGTGAGGGGTTGAGGAAGGCGCATGAAGGGCTTGAGAGTGGGAAGGGGATTGGGAAGGTTGGATTGAGCGTTGATCTGGTGGGTGAGAAAGGGAAGACGTTTACTTAAAGGAGAGGATGTGATGATCAATGCTCCTATGAAGCGTATGAAGGTACAGATCTGCGGTGACCCGACTTGACGCAGAATGGGACGGTAATTCGTCACACAAGAGTTTGTAGGAATCAGTCCGGGAGCTCATAAGTCATATTTCAAACATTGTTTCATTGGACAGGTGCACGTGAGATTTTTGGGAGGTTGGTAGCGGAGGTTCAACATCCTATCGTGGCAGTAACCAGACGGTCTTGACAGCAGCAGCGACGTGTGGTTGATCGTGGATAGAGTCAATACACTATGCCTTGGGGGCTCCAGCTAGCACTCGAAAGCCAAACCCACCAGCATGCCAGTCTTAATGAGGTGTGCTCTGGAGCCATTGTTCTCCGGTGTGCCAGTCATGAACAGCCTTTTCTCAAATTCGCTTCCCGATATTGAGCCCATCGATTACATAGAGCACCAGACCAACGACTGCGATAGGATTCAGAAACGCCTGCACAGCCTTCACAGGGCGTGTTGTTCCTGTACCATCACAGTCAGCGCTCGGCCTGATTTCAGACATATCACGGGCCATGGCACTCACCCACGTACACACTTTCCGCACGGCCCACAATGCCACACCGTGTTATCGTTGCATTCCCCACATACCCAACAGTGCTCCATACAGTGCTTCTCTTGAGTCCAAGGCTCTTGTACCCACTTCCCTTCGCCGCAAAGACTGAACCACCAGTCAGAGGACTCCTAGTCATCAGGCCCCACTCGAAAAGGTCTCGTTTTTGACGCAAGCGTTGCTCTCCATCGGCGGCATCACGCCAGTCTTTGAGCCATTCATCCAGCAATTCAGACACATCCCTCTTGTCCTCCGCTGCTACCCTCATCTTGACGAAAAGTGCATCAAGATCCACATTCTGTAGCCCTTTCGCTTTTATGATAAAATGTGTGAAGCATGCCGTAAGCTGGTTGTTCTTGTAGCCTTTGCAGAGGTCCTCATTCAGCCCGTTGAACACGTTGCGGCATGAAGAACTCTCCGAACATTTACAATGCTCGTCGCAGCTGGCGCCCCATTTGCGACAGATACAGGTGTTTTCGGAGCATCCTGTGCGGCAGCGACAAGCGAGGGCGGAGTGTGCGGGAGGTTCAATGTATATCTGGGAAAACATGTCAGTGTTGAGATCAGCAGTCGTGAACTGTTACGTGGATCAATGTGCTTGCCTGCGTAGATTTGGCACCCACCAGATACCGTTGCGGTTCATCATTCTTTTTCCTCGGGTCTAGTTTCTGCAAGTTGCTTCCAAGAATGCTCTCCTGACGCCCTGGCATTCCAGCTGGTGCATACTCGAGCATCCGCAAGCGAGTTGTTTCTTGCTGTACGTTGGCGGTGTAGATGAGTCGCGAGGCTAAACCATTATAACTATTGGAACCGTACGGCGTTGGCTGTCCGGAGACGATCCGGTTAGACTCAAGTGTGAGCACACGCTCGCTGAGATTAACGACTTGCAGCCTGAGATTATTGGCACCGCTCTGTGTCGTCAACAGGTCGCTCTGTACCATCAATTGATCGCCTTTCAACGTCAAGTGGTCATCTTTTAGTGCGTGGAGTTGACCCTCCAACTTCGTGATCCGCTCGCCTTCGTTGCACAGCGAGAACGGAGATGGACCGATCGTGGGCTGTACCATTACTCGTTTGGTAGGTTGGGCGGACTCGCCATCGCTTGGGCGCTTCCACAACGACATTTCGGGGCGAGATGTGAAATGGACTGATGCAAATGAACCAGCATTCGACGCTCAATGTGCAGAGTGCAGGTCAGCAGGAGCGCGAACAAGCTGTTACCAGGGAGACGAAGAGTAGAGGCAACGTCCAGAATGGGGTCGAGAACTGTATGATGACTGTTGAAAGTAGTGGAAATAGCTTCAAAGCTTTTAGCAATGCCGCAGCGCTTCCCCTGGGATTAGTGCAACGGGCAAGAGTGCGAGGAAGCGTGAACT